TTTAATATGATTACCTTAGACATGAAGAGTACGAGATGTAACTCTTCTTTTGTTTTGCAATTTCTCTGAGCATTGCATACATTTGCTGGGACATCCACTCCTGGGAAGATTTGCAGGTGTCTTGAATGTTTACCACTTTTGAATAAGTTTTCTCACTGTAAAATGCCGGACTTTAAATTTCTTGGAAATGGTCTTCTAACCCTTCTTAGTTTGATGGTCAGCAACAATTGCTTCTCTAAGATCATTACTGATTTCTTTCCTCATTGGCATTATGTTAATACACACCTGAATGCTCCAGACCAGCGAACTGCTAAAACTTTGTCTTTTATAGAGGTGGTCACACGTGCTGATGGCCAATTAATCAAGGTCATATGATTAACAGCACCTGTCTGCTACTTAGCCTCGAAATTCCTATGGAAGCAGTAAGGCTTTTTTGGCTTTATTTTTGTTAACCCTTTAACACCGTTACGGCGTTCTATGCCGTTGTGGATTTAAAGGGCTTTAAAGCCGTTGCGGCGGCATAGAACGCCATAACGGCTCAAGCCCAGGGGAGGTAAGATTTACTTACCTCCGCCACGATCCTCTTCTGGAGGGCTGTCTGACAGCCCAGGCAGCCCTCCTCCGGCAAATGAGGCCCCTGGGGGCCATGTGATCACTCTAAAAGAGCGATCACATGGCCCCCTATAGCTGGCTGTGGATCTGCCAGCAAGGGGACTGTCTGAAATATCAGACAGTCCCCCTGCTGGTGGGAAAGTAAAAAAATAAAAATGAAAATAAATTAAATTAAAAATAAATTAAAAGTATATATATATATATATATATATATATATATATATATATATATATATATTTATTTATTTATAATATATGTATATATATATTATATATGTTATTAGTTATATATATGTAACGCTTAGGGCATGCACGTATTTTAATACTACATAGTATATATATTAGTATTAAAATACACTTAGAATGACGCTACATATATAATATGTATATATATTATATATATAATAGATATATACATATATTATATATATATATATATATATATATACGTATAATTACAATAAATAAATAAATAAAATAAAATGTACTGAATAAAATATTGAATGCAGTACTTCAATATAAAATTATATGGGATTCTATGAAGGTGTAATTTCATTCTAACTGTATTTTGTTATTAATATATATATATATTGGTAACAAAATACACTTAGAATGACATTCTATATATATATATATATATCTATCTATCTATATATAAAATACAAATAACCGCAAATATATATATATATATATATATATACAATCCTGGAAAGTCCCGCACTCAATTTGCCGGTCTTGTACTTGCCTCGGTGCTACCTCAGCCGTAATGAATATCGAAGAAAAACGAGTGCACTCCAGAGGTCTTCTTTTAGAAAAATGACATTAAATTTATTGCAAAAACGTGTAGTAATACAACATGATCTAGTCGACGTTTCAGTCCACGAAGGACTTTTATCAAGACAGTGAAAAGCGGGAATTGTGAAAGTTTAAATATGGTGGTAACAGATTCTGATTGGAGAGTAAGCAGAGAACAAAATGACGTCATAGGTGAGATGTGAAAGTTGAAAGGGCATTAGTCCCAAGAAAAGTAAATAAACCAGTGAAATATAAACCGGTAAAAAAACATATATCATAAGATGACAATACAGTGCACAGACAGCCGAGGTGGAACAAATCCAACAACTCAGATGCCATATAAAAACCAAGATGTATATAGAAAAACAGGAACGCCACCCAAAGTACCGATCTACTAAATGTCTAAATACTATATACATATATACAAACCAAACTTCAACTGGGGTGGCTAAATCCTGTGAAGGAATTCCGAGAGGAGAGAAGTATACAAATATACATAGTCATATCAGAAACAAAGTATCAAATTCTGAGTACACAAGATTCGAGGCATATGTAGCAAGCAGAGATAACAAGTCAAACATCTATAACCAATCTAACGAGCAGATGCTAACATTGTAAATCAAAATAGCAAAAGATCAATTCTATCTTACAGAAATAAAGCAATTAAGAGGGTTGATCTCATTCAGTCCTCCTGGATGCATAGTTCCAAGTGTGAAAATCCAAAAGGCTTCCCTTTGGAGGAGAAGCCTGTTTCTATCCCCTCCCCTTAAGGGAACCGGGACATGCTCAATACCCATGAATTTTAGAGTTGGCAATGTATGTCCCTTTTCAAGAAAATGTTTACATATAGGGGTAGATGCAACACCACTTGATAATGCCATTCTAATCGTCGATCTGTGTCCCGTCATTCGTTGCCTTAAATCATTCGAGGTTTTCCCAATATACATAAGGCCACATGGGCATAGAATCCGATAAACAACATGTGTAGTAGTACAAGTAATCCGCTGTCGTATCTTGTATTCTTTCCCTGAATACGGGTGAAAAAATGATTTTCCAGGTGTCATATTGTTACAAGCCGTGCATTTCAAACAGCGAAAGCAGCCAGGGTTCTGAAGAATAACACGTCTAGATGCCAATATATCAGTATGTACCAAATAGTCTCTTAAATTCCTATTTCTCCTATAGCTAATCATCGGATTTTGTTGAAATATTTCCGGTAATGTCTTATCTTTTTTGATTAGCTCCCAATCATCCCGAATCTTTTTAGACAAGTCTCGAGATTGTGAGTGAAAGGTTTGAGGAAAGATTAATCTATTCAATTTATTCTTAGTACTAGAACTTTCAGTGTATAGATGTACTGCCTTGGAATATGCTTTTTCCAGAGTATATTTAGAATATCCTCGCTGGGTGAATTTCTCAAACATTTCTTGCACCTGTACCGCAGCTTTATTAGAATCCGAGTTATTTCTCAATACCCTCACAAATTGTGACACCGGGAGAGATTTTATCAAATTGGGAGGATGATGGCTAGTAGCGTGGAGTAAAGTATTGCGATCCGTTTTTTTGGCATACAAAGTATAACCCAACTTGTTGTTTTCAATAAAGATGCGGAGATCCAAAAAGTCCATTTGTTTATTATTAATCTGGTATGTAAATCTAACAGGTGAATCCAAGTGATTAAGCGATTGTAACATGTTAAGTAGTGTTTGTTCTTCCCCAGACCAAATAATAAGGACATCGTCGATGTATCTGAAGTATTTTAAAATATATTGGCTGTATTCTTGTAAAATATATCTCTGTTCATACACATGCATATATGCATTAGCATACATGGGTGCCATAGGGGCACCCATGGATGTCCCCGAAATCTGAATATAAAATGACTTTTCAAACCTGAAATAATTCAGTGTAAGGCACAGTTCTAGTAATTCCAGGATATATTCAATAGGAGGCTCAATTTTATCTTGGTGCTGTAGCAGAACATGTCGCATCGCAGATATCCCTTCAGCATGGGGAATAATGGTGTATAAGCTATTAACATCAATAGCTGCTAAATACACCCCTTGTGGAGGTAATATAGTGGAGTTGAGGGCAGCTATTACCTGGGCAGAGTCTTTCACATAAGTAGGTAATGACATAACCGGTTTTTTAAATTTGATGTCTAGCCATTTTCCAATCGGCTCCAGAAGACCACCACATGCAGACACAATTGAGCGGCCTGGTGGGCACTTCAAATTTTTATGCACTTTTGGTAGTGTATAAATAATAGGACACCTAGGGTGCATTTCAAAGAGATATTCAAATTCAGCTGTAGTCAGGAAACCAGATTCTACTCCCCTTTGTAGTATGAAGATTATAGAGCTGAAATTTTGAGACAACTATCGGACACATGTGTGTATGAACATACTGAAATTGACCCGGTTAATGAATTTAGTAAAGTGATTAAATCGACACTACAAAGGGGAGTAGAATCTGGTTTCCTGACTACAGCTGAATTTGAATATCTCTTTGAAATGCACCCTAGGTGTCCTATTATTTATACACTACCAAAAGTGCATAAAAATTTGATGTGCCCACCAGGCCGCCCAATTGTGTCTGCATGTGGTGGTCTTCTGGAGCCGATTGGAAAATGGCTAGACATCAAATTTAAAAAAACGGTTATGTCATTACCTACTTATGTGAAAGACTCTGCCCAGGTAATAGCTGCCCTCAACTCCACTATATTACCTCCACAAGGGGTGTATTTAGCAGCTATTGATGTTAATAGCTTATACACCATTATTCCCCATGCTGAAGGGATATCTGCGATGCGACATGTTCTGCTACAGCACCAAGATAAAATTGAGCCTCCTATTGAATATATCCTGGAATTACTAGAACTGTGCCTTACACTGAATTATTTCAGGTTTGAAAAGTCATTTTATATTCAGATTTCGGGGACATCCATGGGTGCCCCTATGGCACCCATGTATGCTAATGCATATATGCATGTGTATGAACAGAGATATATTTTACAAGAATACAGCCAATATATTTTAAAATACTTCAGATACATCGACGATGTCCTTATTATTTGGTCTGGGGAAGAACAAACACTACTTAACATGTTACAATCGCTTAATCACTTGGATTCACCTGTTAGATTTACATACCAGATTAATAATAAACAAATGGACTTTTTGGATCTCCGCATCTTTATTGAAAACAACAAGTTGGGTTATACTTTGTATGCCAAAAAAACGGATCGCAATACTTTACTCCACGCTACTAGCCATCATTCTCCCAATTTGATAAAATCTCTCCCGGTGTCACAATTTGTGAGGGTATTGAGAAATAATTCGGATTCTAATAAGGCTGCGGTACAGGTGCAAGAAATGTTTGAGAAATTCACCCAGCGAGGATATTCTAAATATACTCTGGAAAAAGCATATTCCAAGGCAGTACATCTATACACTAAAGGTTCTAGTACTAAGAATAAATTGAATAGATTAATCTTTCCTCAAACCTTTCACTCACAATCTCGAGAGTTGTCTAAAAAGATTCGGGATGATTGGGAGCTAATCAAAAAAGATAAGACATTACCGGAAATATTTCAACAAAATCCGATGATTAGCTATAGGAGAAATAGGAATTTAAGAGACTATTTGGTACATACTGATATACTGGCATCTAGACGTGTTATTTATCAGAACCCTGGCTGCTTTCGCTGTTTGAAATGCACGGCCTGTAACAATATGACACCTGGAAAATAATTTTTTCACCCGCATTCAGGGAAAGAATACAAGATACGACAGCGGATTACTTGTACTACTACACATGTTGTTTATCGGATTCTATGCCCATGTGGCCTTATGTATATTGGGAAAACCTCGAATTATTTAAGGCAACGAATGACGGGACACAGATCGACGATTAGAATGGCATTATTAAGTGGTGTTGCATC